TTTTTCTAGATCAATACATAATCTAACAAAACTATATTGGATGAGGGCTTGTCGAGTTAGACACAGGTTTTGCAACCTTGTACGAGTACAATAGAGTCAGTATTGCTTTAAAAAATGATCTCATTATTTCACACTACCATTTTTGAAATTTTGACATAACTGCATGACTTCAAGTACAATAAGGATATGAGAAGGATTTTTGGACTCCCGAGAATAAACACGTGGTACAAAATGGGGTACCAATGCATTTAATAGAGATATATTTCAAACTCTGAAAAATAAAAATGAGACTATATTTTGTACAATATGCATTTGATATAGATATTTAGACACTGGAACCGAAAACGAGACTGAATTGATAAAATTGTTTCGACAAATTATTTCTATTGAAGCACGTGATGTAAAATGCTGATACGTTATTGGTTATATTTTATGTACGATGTGGAATAAATACTCTTGTCGAAAAAGAAATACAATATCAAAATAAGAATACTTAAATTAATTTCCCATACAACAAGTGTAATTACTATTTTGCATTTGGTGCTGTAATATTCTAATATAATACATTAACAGCGCGAATGTGATATTTCGATTTAATGTACCCCACAACAAGAGCTGTCCGTAAGACAGCGCGCTCGACTTTTTTAGTGCTTGCCTATAATACAAAACATTGACAGTTAAGGGCCATAATTCAAATAAAATCTTTGACAGAATTACCTTCTCCTGGACATGTTTGGGAATCATGATTGTAAACAAGTATTCCAACTTTCAAATTAATATCTCAAACAGTTCAGTCAAAAAGTGGACTGGTACTAAAAACTTAACCAAGATTCTAAGTCGATAAAAGGCCTTAATTTTTAAAACAAATCCTTGACAGAGTTACCTTCTCTTGCGTACAGATGGGGTAATGATGTGAAATAGCATTAAAAGTTTTCAAAAGCAATATCTCAAAGGGTTAAGGCAATAAGTGGATTTTACCCATATTCAATGTATTTTCTAAGTCAAAAAGGGGCATAATTCTGTCAAAAACCTTGACAGAGTTATGTCCTCTTGTCTGTTGATGAAGGTCGTGATGGTAAACAAGTATGGTCAGTTTCAAAGCAATACCTCCAATGGTTTTGAAATAAAGTGAGGTGGTACAAAAAACTTAACCAAGCTCAATACACTTTCTAAGTCAAAAAAGGGCCATAATTCTGTCAAAAACCTTGACAGAGTTATGTACTCTTGTCTGTAGATGGAGGTTATGATGGTGAACAAGTATGGTAAGTTTCAAAGCCATACTTGTAATACTTCTGAAATAAAGTGGGGTGGTACGAAAAACTTAACCAAGGTGTGACGCCAACGCTAACGCCGACGCCGACGCCGGGGCGAGTAGGATAGCTCCCCTTTTCATAGAAAAGTCGAGCTAAAAAGGAATTAAACGTGTACATTCTATTTAATCATATCGTGTTAAAGTTGACTTTTATGGTATTAATGCAAATGTATATAAAACTAAATGCCAACATTACGTTTATACTGGTTGTGTTTTTATCATCCGGAAGAACAATACAGTTTTCAAATTGTCAGTGGTATTTTCACAATGTTTCTGATTGCCGGTCATTTTCTTTATCAATAATATTATCGAATTACACTTTATTTCCCGCTTGATGTCCAGTAAATACCTGTAATTCTTATAATGCTTATAGCACAATACTGAATATTCACATCAAATTTCACGTAGTAGAACTACTTTCAATCTTTGTTGTTTCCATGTTGATTTTTGAAAATCCACAATGTGTTACGATTGATATTATTCGGTACGGATTTTTTACGCATTTGTTCAAAATTGAAATGAATAGTTTATAATTTACAAGAACTGTCTGAGATACTTTTTGGAATAAATAAAAATACATTTTCTAATTTTTCATAGAGGGAGGCACCGGTTTCGCAACGTATAACAGTCAGCAGCCGCCTTCATATACACAGCCTGGCTATGCTCCGTACCAGCAGGGTCATCCCGTACCAGTTCACGGTCAAAGTAATGTTGTAGTTGTCTCACAGCCTGGTGTACAGGGGGTCAGAGGAACATGTCCATACTGCGGTGTATGTTTTTGCTGTCCTTATATATAATTAATTTCTGATAATAAGACACATTTCTTTAAATATTTGAGCAATAGATTTGAGTTTAATCATGCCATTTTTTAAACAATTCTTGAATTTATATATTTTATTGATTTTTTTTGTTTGAAATATTGGAATAATTTTATGAATGTATGTTTTGCAGCTTGGGTTTGCAAGGTCCGACTACTCTACAATTGGTATACTGATCGCTATACTGTTTTTCCCTCTTGGTGTAATCTGCTGTTTGATGATGACGGAGCGTCGATGCACTCACTGTCGAGCTAAAATATAGACTTGTTGTCCTGCATGCTATTTCGTTGTCTGTGATATCTTGTTACCTTTTTGATAAATTGCAGTGCCTTAATTAGAACAATTAAAGCTCAACCTTTTAATATTATTACTGATACTAGCTGGATTGCACACAACTACTAACATGTTATTGTTATAGACAAAATCTACATATAATCAAGCATATATTAACAATAACTTATTCGTGTCAGCAACCGATGATATTTTATAAAGAATCATGATGTAAAATTTACTATAACAATAATAATGACTTGTTACTTAAACGTATGTCCAAAATTGTGCATTTACGCTTAAACTTGTTTAAATCCGTCTCTCCAAAACATAATAAAGATTGTTTCCAAATTAACAGTTTGTATTTGTATCTTAACCCGTAAAAATGGTTTTGTAGAGACTTAAAGATTTTTGTAATCGATATTAATACCAGCGTATTTCATTGACAGTTACAAAGCACAGTTATCGATTGGTAAACAACTGATGTTAAAATCAATAGAACGGTCGAATGGGACAACGGTCGAATGGGACAATGAATCAGAACAAATAAATATATTTTCCGTGAAACTTATCTGTGCTGTATCGGTACGCTTAATCGATCATATTAATTGCAGAATCCGCTTATTCTAGGTCATGCCATCATTTCATAAACACGAACTTTTCAATTATTTGTTATTGATTATTAAGAGATTCTTTTTATGTACTTTCGCCTTGATGTTATGTTCACTACTTATAATTATTGAATAAACAAAATGCCACTTTTAATACTTGAAAATTTTACTTTAAAGACACTAACTAATTTCGCTTCATGTGAAATGATATCTAGGCTTTCATCACAGAAGTTTGTTTGCGAGTTATCTGGATTTTGTGAGGTTAGAAACATATGGTTATTATTTAAAATTAAATGAGACATTTGTAATATTGATATAAAACAAATTTTAGGGGAGCAACAGAATCAAAGTGGATATCAGGTGAAATTTAACAACTAATTCGTAAATGTTTCAAACAGGCTAATAAGCTTAAAAAGTCGGACTTCGGTTAGCATCAAAATTCTATCAGAATATCAGTCAAGGTTACTCAACTTTAAATCGACTGTCAATCATTTATAATTCTTTCTGTGAAGCAACAGATAATGGAAAGGAAATTAGAATCGTATTTCGTGACATCAACAAAGCTTTTGATCGGGTATGGCACAAATGACGTATTACTAAACTGTCAGCTGTTGGAATTTCCGGTGATTTACTTCTTTACGAAGACATGAGCTGAAATGGTCTTCTCAGATTCATATCCGACTTACTAGTATTGATTTTAAAAGTAAAACATGATCTATACAAGTGCTTACATCTATTGTTACAAAGTTATAGCTACCACGAAATTGAAAATGAAATTTTACCGTGCATATCCAGTAACGCAGAATGTGCAATTATCGTAAAAGTAACGCCGAATCTGTGCAACGCTATTGCCAAAACGAATAACACAGTAAGTAAACAGACCAAACTATCTTATCAAAGTTAAGTTTAAACTTAACCTGTCCGTTAAACTTAGCACCTGTCCGTGCTCTGTCTTTGCCCTGTCCTGTTTTTGTTTGGGGTCCCCCTGGGCTCCTTGCCATTGGTTCTTGTTGCTGGGTCATGTGGGGGTTGCGTTCATTGAACGCCGCCTTTCCTTGTTGATCTTGTTTATCATATTTTAAAGAAATATAAGCGTACGGCTGCTATGAAATTATACTTTTACCAGCATAATATTTTTACAGGAATACGTTTACTTGTTTAGATCATTCGTGAGAAAGTCAACCTGATTACCGTTTTGAAGGTGACTTTTGTGTATCTTTAAATAAATATGTACATTTAACACATTAAAATTTTTTTTTTTAATTTCTGTATATCTTAGGCATTTGTCAAACCTCAAGTGTCGTATAACAATAGAAGGAAGCTGGTAAAATAGGATTAAGCTCTATCAATTACACTGCGCATGTGCATCAGCTCTGTCCCGGCTCCCTAACATGCATTGTGCATGTATATAGGCTCATCTACGGCTCCTTTACATGTACAGCGCATGAGCACCAGCTCGGATACGGTGACTACACATGCGCGCTATCGGTTCGCCCAAAGTCAGCTCCGAGCAGTCGTCTTCTACATTTTCTTCTGAGCACAAGCATTGTTTCATTTCTCTTAGAAAAATGTCTTAAATAATTGAATTTCTGAATTTGAGGTAAAGTTAATCAAATTATATCACATTTAAAATAGTTTAGATCTTTACATAAATTTGTATGTCCAGCTTTTTGGGACATTTATTCCAAAATATTCAACTTCTGAACTCTGTTTTTATTTCGAGGTCTGACAGTCCGCGTAGTGGTCAAACTTTAAATATTGTTGATAAATTGTTGCAGCTAATAATTCTTAATATAATTGTTCACTTAAATAAATTATTTTAACTGTTTATCGATAGTGTAATTATTGTGTTAAACTACGACTCCCCAGCCGGTGACATTTATTGTAAGTCACCGTCATCAACCATAGAAAGACAAGACAAGATCGTTCAGCACGACATTTTTGTTGTGCTTGTGGTATTTTTAGTTTCAACTTTTCGGCATTTTCTAGTTGGGTGGTTCCAATATTCCTACTTGAATAATGTTGAATCACCCTTAGGATATGTTGCCTGCTTTTTAAATTTGTCTTTTGACGTCTTATCTGTGATACGCAGGCTTCATAACCTCTGATCCCCTTTCAAAATTCCATTTTATTTAGTTCCGCCCATTGTTTTCTCGTTTAGGGCACACGCTTTTTATTACTTGGGGACCATACGCCGCTTTTCATGGAATGGCACGGAAGTGTCACATTGAAGGTTCCATGATAACCGCCGTATGAACACATCTGCGGATGTTTGTAAATTCAAAATTTTACTATTTCACGTTTAAATGTTGAATTCTGCTTAAGCCGGTGCTAGGGGGCGTGGACGGTAACTTGCACTTTCCAGTACCGTCCATGAACAGGCTCAATCAAACCGAGCCTGCAACATTTTCAATTTTGCCGTGTTGGGCTTTCTTTAGGAATTCTGTATTTATCTATTTTATGATCACATCCGTGTTATTTGTGCCGTGTGGCGGCTGTAAAAAGTCTCCCCGTACATTTAATCAATGATGTTATATTTTCGATCCTTGAAGATCGTTCAGCACGACATTTTTGTTGTGCTTGTGGTATTTTTAGTTTCAACTTTTCGGCATTTTCTAGTTGGGTGGTTCCAATATTCCTACTTGAATAATGTTGAATCACCCTTAGGATATGTTGCCTGCTTTTTAAATTTGTCTTTTGACGTCTTATCTGTGATACGCAGGCTTCATAACCTCTGATCCCCTTTCAAAATTCCATTTTTTTTAGTTCCGCCCATTGTTTTCTCGTTTAGGGCACACGCTTTTTATTACTTGGGGACCATACGCCGCTTTTCATGGAATGGCACGGAAGTGTCACATTGAAGGTTCCATGATAACCGCCGTATGAACACATCTGCGGATGTTTGTAAATTCAAAATTTTACTATTTCACGTTTAAATGTTGAATTCTGCTTAAACCGGTGCTAGGGGGCGTGGACGGTAACTTGCACTTTCCAGTACCGTCCATGAACAGGCTCAATCAAACCGAGCCTGCAACATTTTCAATTTTGCCGTGTTGGGCTTTCTTTAGGGATTCTGTATTTATCTATTTTATGATCACATCCGTGTTATTTGTGCCGTGTGGCGGCTGTAAAAAGTCTCCCCGTACATTTAATCAATGATGTTATATTTTCGATCTTTGAAGATCGTTCAGCACGACATTTTTGTTGTGCTTGTGGTATTTTTAGTTTCAACTTTTTGGCATTTTCTAGTTGGGTGGTTCCAATATTCCTACTTGAATAATGTTGAATCACCCTTAGGATATGTTGCCTGCTTTTTAAATTTGTCTTTTGACGTCTTATCTGTGATACGCAGGCTTCATAACCTCTGATCCCCTTTCAAAATTCCATTTTTTTTAGTTCCGCCCATTGTTTTCTCGTTTAGGGCACACGCTTTTTATTACTTGGGGACCATACGCCGCTTTTCATGGAATGGCACGGAAGTGTCACATTGAAGGTTCCATGATAACCGCCGTATGAACACATCTGCGGATGTTTGTAAATTCAAAATTTTACTATTTCACGTTTAAATGTTGAAATTCTGCTTAACCGGTGCTAGGGGGCGTGGACGGTAACTTGCACTTTCCAGTACCGTCCATGAACAGGCTCAATCAAACCGAGCCTGCAACATTTTCAATTTTGCCGTGTTGGGCTTTCTTTAGGGATTCTGTATTTATCTATTTTATGATCACATCCGTGTTATTTGTGCCGTGTGGCGGCTGTAAAAAGTCTCCCCGTACATTTAATCAATGATGTTATATTTTCGATCCTTGAAGATCGTTCAGCACGACATTTTTGTTGTGCTTGTGGTATTTTTAGTTTCAACTTTTCGGCATTTTCTAGTTGGGTGGTTCCAATATTCCTACTTGAATAATGTTGAATCACCCTTAGGATATGTTGCCTGCTTTTTAAATTTGTCTTTTGACGTCTTATCTGTGATACGCAGGCTTCATAACCTCTGATCCCCTTTCAAAATTCCATTTTTTTTAGTTCCGCCCATTGTTTTCTCGTTTAGGGCACACGCTTTTTATTACTTGGGGACCATACGCCGCTTTTCATGGAATGGCACGGAAGTGTCACATTGAAGGTTCCATGATAACCGCCGTATGAACACATCTGCGGACGTTTGTAAATTCAAAATTTTACTATTTCACGTTTAAATGTTGAATTCTGCTTAAGCCGGTGCTAGGGGGCGTGGACGGTAACTTGCACTTTCCAGTACCGTCCATGAACAGGCTCAATCAAACCGAGCCTGCAACATTTTCAATTTTGCCGTGTTGGGCTTTCTTTAGGGATTCTGTATTTATCTATTTTGTGTCTTCGTCTGAATTTCAACATCAACAATCATCACTCGAGATCATAGAACAACACAGAGAACAACATAAAACATCAGCCTTGATTTTAATAAGTCCACTACCATTTAGAGAGATTTTTCCCGCCCATTTTGATAGGCAGTCTAGTTACGGCCGACGCGAGTACAACATTGAAATTTAGATAAAGAAAACCCCCTAAAAATATTATAAAGTCAACAATCCAAGTAAGAAGTAGAATCTCACTATCATACGAATAGCACCGTGCTCGCGTCGCACTGGTGGCAGTTAGGCAGGGATATGAACCTACATTTCTGAAGATCATCACAAACAAATATTCAGTCAACCATATTGGAAACGTTACACTTTATAACTCGATAAACATCAACATCCGTGAA